AGGCCTGGCAGCAACAGCCAAGCAACTTCAGGTTCAGGTGGGGTATAAATGGAGTAAATAAACAATAGCCACAGTTGAAGATGGGAAGACGCTAAAAGGTAGGTTGGTGAGTAGGAAGAAGAGAAGGAAGTAGGGAAAAAAGAGGAGGAGGAGAAGAGGAGGAGATTGGATTTATACCCAATTATATATTTATAAAGGGGAGCGGTGGCACAGTGGGTAAATCCCCTGCATAACTATAACATCTGAACTGCCAAGCTTTGTCCTAGCCCCGTGCTGGTATGAGCAACCAAGCCTTGTCCCTAGCTCATCGTCTACCCAGCGATTCGAAAGCTTCGGCAAGTAGATAAATTGGGGACCACCCGTAAGGGGGTGGGCACACCACTCCCCTTGGGAGGTGTTAGCTGCCAGAGTGACATCTGCGGCGCAGTGAAGATCAAAAAGTGGGAAAATCTGTTTCGGCATCCCCTTGCAGTGGAGCGAATCGGCCAGGCGGTGGCAGTGTGGCAGTGCGACATCGAGAGCCCTGACATCATCAGCCAGCGGACAGAATACATGCCGTCGGGACATGACTGATTTGGCCTGCAGATGGATCCTCCGACTAGCTACAATGTGTGTGTGAGATTAAATAGTGTCTGTTGTCTTCCCTATCCCCCACAAATACATTGTTAGTCCACTGTAAATCACTCTGAGCCCGCATGAGTGGGAAAAAGCGATCAATAAATTGAAAGTATTATTATTATTATTATTACCCTGCCCTTCATTCCTAGTCTCAGAGAGGCTTACAAAAGTATCCCCTCCCCACAACAGACACCCTGTGAGGTGGGTGGGGCTGAGAGAGCTCTTTCCAGAACTGTCCTTGAGAGAACAGCTCTGACAGAACCTATGGCTTGCCCAAGGTCATCCAGCCAGGTGCAAGTGGAGGAGTGGGGAATCAAACCCGGTTCTCCCAGATTAGAGCCCGCGCGCTTAACCATGACACCAAACTGGTGTATGAGAGGAAGGTACGAGAGTTGCCATGAGGAGAGAAAGAGGAAATCGTACGGGGAAGGGGGACGCAAGGGGGGGGAAATGAGGTGCCCCCTGCAAGTCTTTGTAGGTTTCCCATCAGGCAATTGCACTTGACCTGGAGGCTGGCGCTCTGCGACTGGGCCATAGTTTTCCCAGGCAGAGGATGCCAGGGTGAGGGAAAGGTGAAGGGATGGGGGAGAAAATAAAGCTGGGTTGGCTGATTGGTGGGAAGGAAAGAAGGAAGCTGGTGGGAAGGAAAGAAGGAAGCTGGTGGGAAGGAAAGAAGGAAGCATGAAAAGAGGAGAGGCTGTGGAGGCTTCCAAGGAAGGGAAAGACCAAATAGCGGGGGAGGATAAATGAGATGACCCTCCCCCGGTCCCTCTGTGTGTGTGTGCGTGTGTGTGTTATAACACACCAGCATTCTGAAGTAACACAGTCCTTATAGAGCTGGGACTGTAAACTTTTGCTGAGCTGGATCAACCCTTACAAAAGGAGCTCTGAGAAGGCGCTAGGCTTGAGAACAGTGGGCTCTGTTGGACTACAGAAGGCTCTGAATGCCTGCCCATTCCTAATAATGTCCGAGCACAAGATGCAGATTCCAGGAAACAAAAACTGCCAGTGTATATATGGATCTTGTGAACACGAACAGACCCAGCAAGTTCTGAAACATAAGAGGAAATGGAAGTTGGGGGGGGGGGTTAAGAAAAAGAAGAGATTGGATTTATACCCCACCCTTCACTACCCGCCCTTGAGAGTGGATTACAATCTACTTCCCCTTCTCCTCCCCCCCCACAACAGACACCCTGTGAGGTAGGTGGGACTGAGAGAGCTCTTTCGAGAACTGCTTGGGAGAGAACAGCTCTGAGAGAACTTGTGACTGACCCAAGGTCACACCGGCTGGCTGCATGTGGAAGAGTGGGGAATCAAACCCGGTTCTCCCAGATCAGAGTCCGCGCTCCTAACCGCCACGCCAAACTGGCTCTCTTAATAAGATCCTATAAGAGAATTGATCTAAAAAGAAAGCAAGCTGTATTTTTTTCCCCCAAGAAGGCAAAGAGGGGAGTGCTATGGAGAAAAATACAAAGGGGTGCGGGAAAGGCATAACTACTTGACTCCTCAAGGAGAAATCTCTGTGTCTTGGGATGCTCAAGCCAGGTCTGGGAAATCACAGAGCTCTTATAATAAGCGAAGGCTGGAGAAGGGGGCGTCCAAACCCAGGTCAGAGTACATACAGACAAGAGGCTGGGGCCCCCCTTCCCATGAATAACACCACAGAGCAAGCACAGCGCATGAGAAAACAACACATGATCTAAGAGAGGAGGCCCAGGGATCTCCCTCCAGCCCTCGCAGTACCTCATCAGAGAGAAGCAACCCACACTGTACAAGACGGGGAAGTCTTGGCGTGAGCCAGTGAGAACGCCAAGAAATTCCTGATGCCGCATCACCCACTTATGCCCAAGTGTGCCTCAAACACCTGGAACTTGGGCTATTCAAGCCATCAGTCTGGCCTGCGGCAGATCCCTCCTTTTTCACCAGGGATGGAAATATAATGAGAACCAAACAGCCCGTGATGCAGCCATTAGAGTCTGGACTAGGGCTCCAGGTTCAAATTACTGTGCCACCATGAAGTTCACTGAACAAGGAGTCAGGCACTCTGTCTTGCACTTACCCCCTTCAGAGGGTTGCTATGCTGAGGCCAAAAGGGGGGTGGGAGAGCCAGGGAATGTGCCCCGAGCGCCTTGAAGGGTAAAAAAAAATGCACTATGTGTCAATGCTCCCTCTAAACTGCGGAGTCTTGTGAGCAAAAAAATCTACTTTGTGAGCTACTGGCATTAAACTTGTGAGCAAGCGATTCGGCAGCTGCATACATTAGTTTGCTCTGAAGCCATCCTTCCTGAGCCAGAGGCTAAAAAACTGTGAGCTAACTCACACTAACTCAGCTTAGAGGGAACATTGCCGCCCCCCCCCGCGCATGTGTGTTAATTGCCCTCAAGTGGCTCTATTTACGGTGACCCCATGAATTAATTACCTCCCAGACACCCCATGATTGACAGCCTTGCCCAGAGCTTGCAAACTGTAGACTAAATGCACTAAACGGATACCAAAAATCAATCAATCAAAAAGAAAAAGAGCCTCCTCGATTGAGACCTTTGAAGAAAGGAGGGGAGTCCTTCCCAAGGGAAAACAACGCTGGAGTCCGAACGGGTCTCCTTTGCAGAGTAAAAGTGTGACTGGAGTGGGGGAAATCAGTTTCCCCTCTAAGCTGAGTTAGTGCGAGCCAGCTCACAGTTCTTTAGCCTCTGCCTCACACATTGTTGTCCTAGCTCGGTAAGGAGGGCCCCAAAGCAAACTAATTTATGCCGCAGCCAAATCGCTCGCTGACAACTTCAATGCCCGTAGCTCACAAAGCAGAAATTGGGCTCACAAGACTCCATAGCTTAGAGGAACCATTGGTGGGGATTCCTGACAATGGATCTAACAGGCCCAGGTAGGATAATGCATTGCACATGAACCATCGACAGAGAAGCAATTTTTTTTTCACTGGCAGCAGCTTTTTCCCTACTGGGGACCGGCAGAGAAATGAAGACATCTGCAATGAAAGAGGGGTCATTCCACAGGAATCTGCCGCAGCAGAACAAAACAGGATCCCTTCACCACCCTTTAAAGAGACAAACCAGATTTCATGCCTGCAGCAGCCTCGGCGGGCTGGAGGCCCACTTGGTGAAGATGTGCCGTGTGGATCCCCACCACTACCCTTCCCTGTGCAAAATGACCTAAGCAAAAAGCCCCCTATTTACATCTTGACTAAGTGGGGCTCCACCAGCACGGTTGCCAGCTCCAGGTTGGGAAACTCCTGGGGATTTGGGGACGGACCCTGAGCAGGACAATGGGGTGCAATGCCACAGAGTCCACCCTCCAAAGCATCCATTTTCCCCCAGAGGAACTGACCTCTGTAGCCTGGAAATGAGCTATAATTCTTGGGGGGGGGGGGGGGGTCCCTAGGTCCCACCTGGAGGCTGGCATATTCCTGGAGATCTGGGGGTGGAGGCTTGGAAGGGACCACGTTCAGGTCTAATGCCATAAAATCCACCCTCCAAAGCTTTCCCCCCAAAGGAGCTGACCTCTGTAGCCTGGAAATGAGCTACAATTCTGGGGGAGGAGGGTCCCTAGGTCCCACCTGGAGACTGGCATGTTCCTGAAGATCTGGGGGGTGCAGATTTGGGAGGGAAGGGACCTCATGGGGGGGGGTGTCCTAAAGCCATAAAATCCACCCTCCAAAGCATCCATTTCCCCCCAGAGAAACTGATCTCTGCAATCTGGAGACCAGCTACAATTCCGGAAGGGGGGGGCGGAGAGACCCCCTAAGTCCCACCTGGAGGCTGGCATCCCTAATAAGGTCGTTGGGATGTCCCTGGAGATCTGGGGGCTGCAGACTCGGGAGCGAAGAGACCTCACTGGTGGTGGTTGGGGTAACGCCACGCAGCCCGCCCACCCCCCCTTCCAAAGCCACCGTCCCCCTTTAGGGGGGCCGAACGGGAGAGGAGCTATGCTCGCGGGCAACGCTCCCTCTACTCGGGCGAGCTACCGGCATCAAGGCTGCACGGGCGAGCCACTCGGCGCCTCCTGCCTCCATCGGCTCGCTCTGGAGCCACGTTTCCCGAGCGGAGCCAGACACGCGGGAGCCGGCGACGAAAATGACTCAGAGCCGGCTCACGCCGACCCGGCTTGGAGGAGACACGGCGCGTGGGAGGTCTCCAGGCCCCGCCGGGAGGTTGGCGTCCCCCTAGCCCCCGAAGCACAAGCCCTTCAAAAAAAAAAATCACACCACCAAAACCGAGTTAAACCCTCTTTCAAGAGCCGGATCTCCCCCCAGCAGCCGGGAAGGGGGGGGGGGAGAGAAGGAGGCCGAGGAAGGCTCGGGCGGGTGGGACCCTCCTCCTCCTCCTCCTCCTCCTCGCCGCCACCCTTCATTGTCTGCCGGCCTGACTCACCCGAAGTCGTCGTCCATCGACTTGAAGTAGAACTTGTAGTTGGGCCGGTTGAGGAGGGCCTTGAAGTCGCCCAGCGTGACCCGCTCGGCCGGGACGGGCAGCTTCACCAGGTACGGCGTCTCCTGGTCGTCCAGGTGGTAGATGATCTTCGTCTCGGCCGACGCCATGGCGGCCGACGACGACGCCGACGCCCCGAGGCTCGCCGCCTCCCTTCCCGGCCTGGCCTGAGGGGAGGACGCCGCGCGGCCCCGGCCCTCCTCCTCCTCCTCCTCAGCGGCGGCGACCCCCTCGGCAGGCCCAGAGGCGGCGGGTGGGCCTGGCCTGGCTGGGCTGGCGCGCCTCAGAGCGCAAACTCCGGCCGCGGCGGTCGGAGGCGGCTCCTC